TATCGTATTCGTGCACCACATTAAAAAAACTGCATAAAAAGGATCGCCTAAGAACAGATTAAATTGTATATCATTTTTTCGGACAGACAGCTTTGTCACTTTCTATGCAGTAATACATAACATAATTCATATTTGATTGCAATTAGTTGTCCAGCTGGTTCTTGCTCTGAGTGAAATATAATCTCCCAGCGTTTAAATGAATAACATGGGATACCTTTCGTTATACAAAAAAAAAAAAAAAGAAGCAAACTATTTGTATTAATTATTTAACTGTTTTTACATCTTATCTGATTAATAAGATTTTTATAGCAAAATATACGGAATGTTTTTAGTAATATTTGCAAATAAAAAAATAAAAAAAAAATTGTTTTATTTAAGAAGAATTTTAAATTATATTTACACAAACGCGTACTTACATTTATAGAAAAGATGATTTTTTCATTTTGTTATTTGTGTTTAAATTTTTAACATTTTTGTTTGTTTTTATTTCAATTGTTTTCATTAGAAATGGAAAAATATGTAAAGCAAAATTAATTATCTAAAAATATGTTGTTTGTAACTATTTTTATTTTCGTTTCCCACTCTATTAATCTAATGCACAAAAATGTTTTCATTTATTTAATTTATTTATTTATTTTTGTTTTACGTTTTTTGGTTTTTTTTTTTCTCGCTTCTTTTTTTGTCATCTGTTTTTGTTAAAATTTACGTAGAAAAACTTTGGCATTTTCAATTAAAATTTACGATATGTTTTTGTTTAATTATATGAGACTTTATTTAGAATTTTTAAAATGTAAACAAAATTCAGTAATGAATTTATTAAATATGCAAATGAGCTTAAATATGTTTGGCTTTACTTCTCTTCATCTTGTTTTTTTTATTTTTAATGTATTTAATTTATTTTTAATTTTTGGAAATATATATATGAGATACCAACCCTGCAAGCTGCCGATAACACACCAAAAGAGTAGATATTTACAAATTTTTCTCCTTTTGTATCCCTTTGTAACAGGCTGAGTGCAAGCGACTCCTTCTAACACAAATATAAAAGACGTATTTCAGTTTTTGCCAATTTATTTGCCCTGGAATCTTTTACATATAGGTAGAAAGAACCCCGAAATTTTCGAAAAAAAAAAATTTATCCAAGATAGAGATTTCAAGTTTCTTAAGAAAAAACGGTCCTAGCAAGTCCTAAGGCCCTACGTTTTTTTTTATTTAATTATGTCCGTTCGATTCGATTCAATTCCATAACTGCAACAGATGAGTTATGATTTCATTTAAACTTTTTAATATTTCCCACATTAGGATCAAAAGGCGGGAGGCCCTCAATATGCCCTAAATTAACACTTTACCTACCGGTTGCATAGGTTTGTGCTTTCGTCAAACTTCCCGAAACTCCCATGTGCGCATGTTTATGCTTTTCGTTGAATTCTACGCAACGCCGGTCGGCATACATTTGTGTACGCTGGCAACCGTTAATATTCATTTTGTCTCCAACAATGAAGGTCTATCCGTCCACTCAAAACTTTTTATTAGATAAGAGAATGGTTTTATGGCAAGATCGATTAAAATTCGGAGTTTAAAATCCCATTAAAATAGTCGAATATGGAATTTGAAGCAGAATGGTATGTTATATCTGTAACTTCAAATCGTATTCAGAAAAAGCAGTAATTTGCAGGATACTATTGCTGAGCTATTGGCAGGCATAACTCGTTAAATGATGGCAAGTTTTATCATAGCAAGTATTTAGCGAAATATCTATACAATGTGAAGACAAGAATCTGTTCATACCATACAAACAAAACTGAATGCAAATGAATATATTTATATATACAGTCAGAAAGCACAAGTACTTTTGGAAATGTGGAAACTCAAGAAAAATAAGAAAGTCACGACGATTTCAAAAATCCATCACGTTTTTGGTTATCTCGAATTTCATCCCGTATCAGAGCTAGTTTTCTTGTGGACATTAGCGACTGGTAATGTGCTAAAATCTATTACAAGCTTCATCTTCTTCTTCTTCTTGAATGTTCAGCGAGTCAATAACAGACGATTCACCGCTTTGAGCAGAAAAAGGTTCAAGGTCAAGGCAGAGCTTTTTGTCTCTTATCTCTTTGCCATAATAATTTTGATGAGTAGTTTAGATTGTTAGTTAATATTAGATTTTTACGTTTGCATCTGGACGCTAGCAAATATCGTCACGTTCTCCGTGTTTTTGAGTCCGAAACAATTGTTTTTGAGATATTTTGTTATTTTCTTTTGAGGTATATATATATATATATGCATAAGCATATACTATCTTCTTCTTCTTTTTCTGCAAGTCAGCAAATCAATAACAGATAATTTACGGAGTTGAGTAAAAATGTTCAAAGTGAAAACGAAGGTCCTTGTTAGGACCTTATTATAATTGGCGGTCAGCTGGTTTGTTTTGCTCCCATTTTTATTTTCTTTCCTTTCTTAATATGATGGAACACTTAGGGGATGTCTTCTGTTCGTGCAACACAGGGGCGGCGGCAAAGAAGTAAGGAAGAAGGAAGCGATACCAAGATAGTGTGCGACCTATTGGTAAGATGTTCTCTATTCGTGGTTGTCAGAAGGAAGAGCGGAAAGAGGTAGGGAAGTGGTGGACATGTATCTGACCGCTAAAGTAAATGCTTTCACCGACCGAGCGCTCACAATATTTATGCACATCAGATTTGAATCCACGACCCCTGTCTTGCTTGTCGCCATATGCTCTGTCTAATTAATGCTTTTAATCAGCCAAATCTTATAAACAATCCCGCATATATTATCTTTTCTGGATAAATACATGATGATCATTCCGTTTTACATATGTTACTGAGACAGGGCTACAAAATTCGGACCACGAAATGAATAACCCTATGTGTCATTATAGTCTTACATCATTTATCGATACCTCATCAGTAGTTGTACGAATTCCGCCCACCCATATACTGTAACGTATTACCACAAACATTTTTGACGATTATAGGGGATCTTGTAAGCGACATAGACAACTTTGAACAAAATTTGGCGAATTGAATCTGTTAAATTGAATTTTCCGATAATAGTTTTAGAAACTGTGAGTTCGTCGGTAAAATAAAAAAAATAAAATTTGTCAGTTAAGCGAATCAAAAATATAAGTATTTTTTGGATGCAATTCTAAAGCATTTAACTTATTAATAATTTCAAGTACACACCTTGTGCGTTATAGTAAAATAAAATATTGATACAAATTATCCATGAAAGAATTATTATAAGTCAATTAAAAAAAAGAAAAGCTTCTCACTTGCAAAACTATTAAGGAAAAACTCGAAGAGGGCGACTAATATTGTGTTTAGTTGGCTTTTCGTGAATGAAGGGGCAATGTAAAATATAATTAATTAAAGTTTCAAATGTATACCATAATTTCGGACATGGAAATATAGAAAATCTAAGCCACTGTCTATATCTGGAAGGTATTATATATTCACTTCCATTACTTAATTGAATGGGGTGTTGAAAAGAAAATCCTTGTATGTCGAACTCCAACCTGGTACATGAATTTATTTGGAATGTACTTAAAATATTCAATACAAATTGTGAATACTTTTCTAAATATTCATTGAACAAATATAGAGTATTTGGGGGCCGTTAGGCGTATCCAGATATAAATCAATAAATTTGCGGACATCTCTTAAAAATATTCTTCTACTGCGAGTCAACGGATCAATCACAGGTGATTTACTGAGTTGAATGAAATTATATCGTATGAAAAACTGTGCCGTTTTTGATCCCTTTGTAAATCATTCGATATAAAAATTTATGAAAGACATATGTATGGATTTTTGACCATTGATTTGCTGGAATATATCAGATTTACCGGAAAGTTCTGTTCGTTTCGGTTACAAGTTTCAACAAGTATTTCATTCTCTCTTTTTATCATTGAATGTATATATACTGATCCAGCAAATGTACTTAAATGAGGATAAATCATATTAGTATTAAATGAGACGCGATTCTGTTTCCGTGGCTACTGATAAACTTCATTTACTCACTTACTTCGCTTACATGTATTTGGTACGAATTTCAACAAGCAAGAAATGCTCCAGAAACGTGTAGAAATTCGTTAAAAGTGTTTGGGAATATGCAGAAGATGGTTTGAAAAATTTTGAAGCGATGGTTTCGATCTCCCTGATAAGCCCTGCTCTGGGCGATCATCTTTGAGGGACAACGATACTGTCAAGATCGTGTTGTAGCAAAATCCTTCTTTGACAATATTGGAGAACTAACTAAGCCACAAACTGGAAATTAGAATATTGTTTTATTTTAAAAAACTTTCCGTTAGATCTAGGAAGATATAGGTTCGAAATTTTTCAAGACGTTCTTGTGAGCTAGACATTTGAAGTTTGCTGGAAAGAAAAAAATCCTAGGAAATAAGATAAGAAGTTTTGAGAAATGAACTTACAGGGTTGCCAGAAGTTAAAAATATAACAAAACTTCTGAAATCATTTTCATTTTACATGTTTTTTTCTGATTTTCGGTTTTTTTTTTTTTTGTAATTTATTACTCAGTCTACCTAAACTACTTAAGAGCTAAATAAAATGTTTGACAAGATCTCAAAAAGATAAGTTTTGTTTTCTTTTTTTTTTTGTGTGTGTGTAATTAACTAACAATAAGTCACAAAATTTATACGTTTATATATATATATATATATATATTATATATATACATATTATTCATTTTCGATTAATATTCTTTTAGCCTGCATTACGTTTCAAGTTTTCATTAAATTTAGTAAGAACTACTTGTATATACACGCGCCTCGTTATCAAACATTTTCGGAGAATGGAAAAATGAGAAACGCAAACAGCCAATAGAAATAAGAAGAAATAAAAAAAAATTAAATTAATTTTGATTTGTTTTTCATTTTCTCTGTTTTTTGCGTTTTACTTCAAAACTTCATCCTTACGGAAATGGGAAAAAAGTTGCAAAAGTTTTATTAATAAGTATAGGAAAAAAAAAAAAAAAAAAAAATTTGAAGAAAAAGTAATTCTCTTTTGTTTAAAAGTCATTTCGTTTTCGCTCATAGAAAGAGAATGTAAGAAGAAAGCGAAGGAGGAGGAAAAGAAAAGTATCTTTAGAATCCATTTAATTAAGCAGCTACCTTGATTTTAGAGTATGGTTTTGAGCGATAGTGTCGACTTGAATGGCAACCGCACTGACGGATGTCGTAGCTTCGCTGCTATTGCTGTTGTTATTGTTGACTTTGTCGGTTGTCAATTGTTTTGCTGAGGAAACGGAAGTTGTTGCAATTGTAAACTCTTGAGTATGTATGTACAGTAATAATAGCATTGGCAGTAGAAGTAATTGAAGCAGTAGTCTTGACATTTCCTTATTAAAATACAACTCATTCTTTGTATTATCATCAGATTCTTCATCATGATGACGATGATGATGATGATGATGACGATAATGTTCTTGTTGTTCATGTTGTTGTTGTTGTTGTTGCTGTTTCTTTAATTTTTCATAACAATAAATTGGTTTTCTATTTACTTTTTTATGTTGTAATGTTAATTTAATGCAATTATGTTTTATGCCCAGTAAACGTCCTAAACAACCGTAGCTTGTTATTAAAGTGGTAATTATTAAAATAATTGTATTTGATGTTTTCAATAAAAGCGTTGAGTCCGATTTACTGGCTGCATTTGGTTGAATGAAAAACGATAAGATTTTGGTAACAAAACTTTCCCGCAATGACATACCTTGTACGGGATCTGCACGAGAGTTGCTAGCGTAAACCGTTTCGCGTGATTCTAAAACGGGTGCTTTTTGCGGACGATCGCCTTCCACTGACTCTTCATTGCTTCGCCAATAAAATGTCGACAAAGAAGCAACGCACTGCAATTGATAAAAATGAAATGAAAATAATCTTATCATACATAATACATTTAATAATAAATTGTAAATTAATTTTGTTATGTAAATGATTATGCAAAACATTTTTTTCTCCTCTCTTTATTTCTGCTCTTTTCTTCTTCAATATTCTTTGCAAATTGACAAATTTACTCAGTTAGAAAGAAATCGTAGTAAGGCAAATATTGCGATTATAGGACTCCTTCAAATGATTTGGGTTTTGTGTGGTAAACACCGCTATCGATGTTAGCTTTTTTTGCATTACACTGACCATTGCTTCAGTACAAGATAATAGGTTGGAAAAAACACCTTTCGGTGTCCGCTGAACTTAATAAGTTATTGGGAGTGATTTTCACTTTAATCCGTCCATCTTTCCCTGTAACTCTCACAATGGAAGGAATTGTTATAAAAAACTAAAGTGCGTCTGTACACTGCAGGCTAAATATTTTTTCATGTAAGAACGATATAATTCAAATTAGGATTAGAAGACATTCAATAGGATGCCTAACGGTCTCTACTGTCTTCTTCAAGCTAAATTTAGATTTAATTAAACAAAAGCGGATATAAAACATATAATAAGAAAAGGAATGTAAAAGCAATGTTGTATATAGGCCGAGCACAGTATACCCTACACCACTTGAATTAATAATAAATCAAAAACTATACATAATTCTTATGTAAATGCATGAAAGCCCTCTTATTGGAGGATTCTGAAACGTTAACGTGGTCTAAATCTAGCAAAGTTAATTTCCTTAAAAAGGATTTTGTTATTTTTCAGTTGCATGGACCGACATCAGATCAAAATACAAGCTAAGAGCGGTATAACAAAAGGTGGGCCTATCTCAAGTTCTTCTGGTTTTTAAAATTTCCCGCACGCACTTAATATTCTCTATAGTACACGTGGTGTGGGATATAAAATGGAAAAGTGATGGTATATAACTCGATTGAATGAGGGAGTGAGGAATGTATTGTATAATTCTATTCTTTTGACTGCCGTCTGATATTGAATTTCGTAATTAAAAGTCACTTATCGACTTCGAAAATGGATATGATGAAGCAACAAACTCACCTGCAATTGCAAAATAATTTAAAGAACGCAAAAAAAAAACTATAGATTCAATGCATTGTGCTGGCAATTACCGAAAATAAGTTTTATATATCTATACATATATCTATTTATCTATTTATATTTTTATTCTTCAAAGAAAATTTTTCTTTCCCGTATTTATTACGTTATGTTGATTCTTGACCGATGTAGTTTCCGGCGAATTTTTTGCTTGTCTATAATTATTATGAGTCCCATCATCAAAGTATGTCCTTGAAAAAATCTTCCGCTTGCAACATCTTCTCTGCTCTTTTGTGGGCAACGTCCGAGACCCGCGGAAACCAAACTTCTCCTTTCTAGTTAAAGCCTCCACATTTATACGAGAACAAGAGACTTTCAGAAAATTAGATGTTCTACAGCATATATTGACGAGAAAGCTTGAAAAGCGTTTCTCGCTTTTTTTTCTGCTGTGTCAATACCGTACCACAAAGTAAACATACTCTTGTGTCTCTCTACCTCGGCCTTACTTTTACGCTGTTGCGGTTGTCTAGCCATTACTCAATTTTTTCGTTTAAGTAAGAACACACTCACCTTAAGTTTCATATCGCCATTGCGAAAGTGATGTTGTTCGACACGGAATTGTAAACCCAATACAGACGTTTCCAAGCCTTCGCGACCTGACAAGATTGTATTGTATTTTCGTAAATATTGCGGCTCGGCGACTTCGCCGTTTATAAACCATGATAGTTGTACAGCTGGCTTAGAGCGACCAGCTGTGCAGTTTATGCGAACCCAGTCACCGATTTGATATCGAGGACGTCCACCTGATATCTTGGGTGGACCTTGATCCGGTAAAGCTGCAAAAGAAAGGAAAAAACTTTTTTTTAGTTTAATAAAAAAAAAGAAGAAGAAATGTAAGCAAATTGTTAATTAACTTATTTCTCGACTCTGTATGTACACTTTTCGTATATAAAGTGCGCTTGTATTTATTTCGTGCAAATTTCTCGCAAATTCCGACCTCTACGTTGAATACAAGAAAGATGGAAGGATGTACGGACAGACAAGCTTAGATCGATTTGGACAGTAACTCCGAATGGACCGGTGTAACAAAAAGTGCGACCATCTCAATTCATTTTGTGTGTTGCGCACATCTGCACAAACATCATTAACCTTTGTACCACACGTGATGCAGAGTATAAGAAATGTTATCCCCTTTTCATGGAAAAGGTAAGAATATTAACAGTTCGTTGTAGTTCTTCTCTCTTTTTTTTTTTAATTTTAACTGTAAAGCAAATCGGCTGCCAAAAAAAAAAAGAAAAAACTGAATAATATTTACATATAAAAAAAAATGTGATTATTTTTACTACATCTACGCTATCTTCCATAAATTTATTTTACTTTCAATCCGTACGGTATGATATATGTATTAAATGAAAATTAAATTGGAATGAAAATCCATTAATTTAATGAAATAACTAAATTTTATACTTACAAACTACTACCATGTCGCCATGCTCGGTTACTGTTTGAAAGGAAGGCGCCTCGCCGGATACTTCGCAACGAAATCGTCCGGCTGTTTGTAGGTTCACTTCCCGTAACGTAACTATGGCATCGCTTGAATTATGAACCTATTGAAGAATAGAGAGGAAAAAAGAAAGTTATATATATATATATAAAAAAAAATTTGTTTGCTACACGTAAGGGATGATGATACAGGAAATATTTTATAGGTCGCTATAGAAAAGTTCTTTCATGTTGTAAAAGTATTTTAAATGCTTGTGCAATTTTTATTTTAAAGTGCTGGCGTTGAATATTTAAAAAGGAATTCGTTAATGATGACATTTCTGTTTTTGAGAGCTGCAAACTCTAGCAATAAATTGCAGCATGCCTTTAATGACATTAAAGTACATGGAAAGGCGTACGCATGTCTTTAATGACGCCAGCTCACCTGCTCTCGACTACCGGGATATCTATATGAGAAGATTCTATCCGCTAAATCGGAACGAACAATTAATCGAAATCTACCTGACTGCAACTCCATTTTCCAGATTATTTTTTTGCTAACACTGTTAAGTTGATGAACTCACTAGCAGTCAATTTAAAATCTATTATGAGCTCAAGTAGGTATACAGTGGCTGTTCTATAATCTACAAGTACGTCTGTATCTGCGCTTAGTTGCTATACGGTGCGATGCAATTATGCGCATTAATATCTGACATTACTCTGTGCGTGTTCATAATTGTGGCGTAAGAGACATTATAGTCTGATCAATCTTAATTATAACAATGGCTATTATTATATAATTTCCATTGTCATTAATAATAATTATTGCAATAAATTAATAAAATAAACTAAGCTAAAGCTTATTGGGTTTAGTTTAAAATAAAATTTACGAAACGGCATCCCGATGGCGAACACTCTTTCTACCACGGATTACGGAGTTAAAGTATCTTTAAAACCGATTAAAAAATATTATTGCGTTGTGATATCATTAGACGCTTTTCATGGTGTATTTGGAAAATTTGTCTCATTCGAAAGTTGCTTGCTTCAGTTTCAGCTGATGTGAAAATTACCTCTTAGTAAAACAGTAAAAAAATTACTGTGGGATATGGTGCAACAGTAAATACCCTATACCGGTTCCTGTTTTTCATTCTTATTCCGGTGATCGTCAGTGAGAGCAGACATGTGTTCTGAGAACAAAGTGTATTGGGTTTTTGCAATGGCCACCAACGAGCACGGACACTTGTTTAATGGATTTTAGTTTCATCTCTTCTCACCGTGACCTCTGTAAACGGAATATCTCTGATACGGATGTTGAGCATAACGAAGAAGGACAAAAGCGATTCATTATATGCAAGATGAAAGGGATAAAGTCCATGAGGAGTTTATGAGACATCCGAGGAAAGGAATTATCAAAGAGATTAATACATGGAAGATAGGAAAAGGCAAGAAGAAGAGTAGAATGATGTCTTGAAAACGGCAGGTTTACTATTTGAGAGAGCTTTGCTCGAAGTGTTTCCGAACATTAACTTTTCGAACATGGAGTTGATGAACCGCCTTTCGCCTTTTCGCCAAAAAGACTTTCGTCAATTTCCACATGTGAACGCATAGCTGCAGGGATCGGTTTCTATTCAGGGGCAAAAAATCGTAATATGTATTTTACGTCACTGTTTGCATCCATAGGAAAGTCCTTGGGATTTCGATTTTTCATAAACAAAGGCGGGTTTGTTGTTTCACTTCTGTATCTTGAAAATGTTCCTTGACGGATTCTTGGCCAGCTCGACCTTCAGCAAGATGATGACAATCAAACTTACGCCTACTGTAGCTTATTGTGATAAGAAGAGTCAAGTAGAATATATTTGCTGTTCATCGTCATTATATACAATTTGTTTCTAAAGTTTGTGTATCTTGTTGTCCTTAAATTCCTCTTTTTTGCATTCCCAACAAAAAAAGGATTTCGTTTATTGCCAAAAAAAAAAGAAGAAAATAAAGCTAGTTAAGGCTTTGGCACTCACTTGAAAAGGATCAATATAAATCCCATATATATTTATCAAAATTTATCAAAATTTAATCAAAATCTTACTCGCAGTATGCACTTATATGGGGGATAAAAGGGATAAGTAAAATAATTCGTATAATAAAAAAAAAATAAAATGTACGGTATGGTATACAATACTTTTCACTTAATAGAATTAAGTTATAAGGTACGTTAATCACTTGTATTGAATATTCAATATTCTCAAGCAGATGTAGTCGAGATATGCTATAAATCCAGAGATAGATGGTTTGGTGTACGTATACTCTTAAGATCATCAAGAGTTCGTTAAGCTGTTTGTCGAAACTTGTTCGAAAGATGAATTATATGAAAAAGAATAAGTTCAATAAAACCATCTGGCTTCAAGTAGCAACGATTCAATTACCACTTTTGCTTGCTAAGTATTGTTAACAAATATTAAAGTATCTTTTAAATGCCGGCAAAATATTTCATGATTGCTGTAAACAAAAACAAAAAGAACAAAAACTTTTGTTTTAAACAAGTGGGAAAAATTTATTTAAACAACCTGCGAAGTATTTGGCGAAAAGTACTGTACATGTTTATGACTGAAAGCTTCATTTAAGGTGAAAAGTAAGATCGAGTAGTAAACCAAAATGTTTAAAAAGCTGCTTTAGAAGCGCAAGAGATATGAAATTTCCTTTTCTTTTTTCTTTTTTTTTTTCTTTTTTGCAAAAAGAGCACAACTAAATTTATGGCACTCAACCACTAAGTGATAGAGAGATGGTGAGAAAGAGGGAGAGAGAGAGAGAAGAAAGATTAGAAGTTTTCGAAGGAAAAAGCATGTGGAAAAAAGCGCAAAAAAAAAGGATGAAATAAAACCTGCATACCTTGTATATATGTGTAGTTAAGTGCTGCAACATCGGTTGTGTAAACTAACAGCAACACTTTTAACCTGGCGTTGAACGGCAAAAATGTAAAGAAGAAGTGCTTTGATTTGTAGCCCTGCACTCTTTAACTCGTTTTCTTTTTCGTCTTTTTTTTTTTTTTTTTTTTT